TCAGAGAGATCCACCTGCCTCTGCTTCCCAAGTGCTGGGATTAAAGGTATGCACCACCACCCAGCTCTAAAGAATGAACTTTTAAAAGAAAAAAATTAAATTAATGATAAGGCAAAGAAGTGACTGAAAAAGACACTGTAATATCAATTTCTGGCTTATGTATACCAAACAGGCTAAAGCCCATGCACACAAACATCCTCTCTCTCTCTCTCTCTCTCTCTCTCTCTCTCTCTCTCTCTCTCTCTCTCTGTCTCTCTGTCTTGATGGGGGAATGTCTTTCTGTATGCTGTGAATATATGTTGCTCTGATTGGTTGATAAATAAAGCCATTTGGCTTATGGCAAGGTAGCTTAGAGGCAGGAAGAAAATCCAAACATATAGAGAGGAGGGGAAAGACAGAGCAGAGGAGATGCTGCTAGCTGCCTCCATGAGAAGCAAGATGTAAGGATACCGGTAAGCCATGAGCCACATGGCAAGGTACAGATTTATAGAAATAGGTTAGTTTAAGATGTAAGATCTAGCTAGCTAGAAGCCTAAGCCATTAGGTCATACAGTTTGTAATTAATATAAGCCTCTGTGTGTTCATTTGGGTCTGAGAGGCTGTGGGACTGTGGGACCACGGGAGCCAGTTGGGACTAGGAGAACTTCAGCTACACTGTCTCAGCATGTGATTGGGCTAGGAGTGTTGCTCTGTGGTATGTTCCCACAGTATTACTGCCCTTAACTCAGCCCTCAGCATGGCAAAAACAGAAATATGTGATTAGTGACTAAATAATACAATGCACCTTATGAAAAACCAGCGTGTTTAAAGAATTGCATATACATTTACAGTCTAATCCCATTAGCTACACATTGCTCATTCAGTCATGCACTGACAGCCTCATAGGATTTACTTCTTAGAGAAAATCCAGGCATTCATTTATTGTATTGTGTTACACATGCACTTGAAGGGCTGGATCTCAACATGTTAATAGAGATTCTTCTCAGGCTAGACTGCATCTAGGTTTTCTATTTTTCTAAACTGAATGTGTTAAATGAAAGGTCATTTTTTAAATTTTGTTATATTTACTTATTTAGTGTGTTTGTGTATGTGTGGGTGCATGAATGCATATATGTATACGTGCATCCATGCCCAAGCATGCCACTTTACATGTATAGGAAGTCAGGGGACCACTTGGGGGAGTCCATTCTCTCCTTCCTCCAAGTGGATCTCTGTGGTCAAACTCAAGTGGTCAGGCTTAGTGACAAGCATCTTACCTGCTGAGACATCTCGCTGGCCCTAAAAAGATTATTTTGAATGGCACTTCAAAAATAATAATGGTATGGTTAAATTTAGTCAAATTATGAGTTTCTAAACAGGTTTTGTAAATGCTAGTGTTTGGATCCAAGTATTTGCTTTTAAGTAAGCCTCCCACACACACTCAACAACTAAATTAATAGGTTGTTTTGCTTAATTGTCTTGATTGAATAAATTGTATGACTAAAATATTTTCCTCCTCAAATGATTATAAATAAAAGCAACGGGAACTTGACCAAAAGGGGTGCAAAAAATGATGAAGCCAGTTCTTAGAGGAAGATCATCATTTTCTTACAGAGTTTCTCTCTCAATTCTCAGCAGAATGAAGCCTCAGTCTGTTATGGAATTTTCCTTTACACCCTGTGAAGATAGGTCACTGTGATTGGTTTAATAAAAAGCTAAATGGCCAATAGCTAAGTAGGATTTGGGGGGGCAAAGAGAATGCTGGGAAGAAGAAAGGTAGAGTCTCAAGGAGCTGCAGAGGAAGCATAACATGTAGGAGATGAGGTAACAAGCCATGAGCCATGTGGCAGCAAATAAATCAATAGAAATGGTTAATTTAAGTTATCAGAGCTAGTTAGAAACAAGCCTAAGCTATCAGCTGAGCTTTCATAATTAATAATGTTTCCCTGTGGTTATTTGGGAGCTGCCTGGTGGGGCAGAGTAAGACTTGCTACATCAGTCCTTAGTCAAATACTAACATAATTTAGATTTCACCACAAGTTCAGTTGAGAATCAGTGACATTCCCTGAGACACACTATGAAGGGCTCTAACAGGCACTACCATGGCAAACATGGCACCAGTAGGTTTTATCCTTTACCCTTCTCTCTCCCTTGCTAAACCATTAGATTACACAGCCCTGCGGGGTCCATTCCCTTATTTGCCCACTGACTCATTCCTGAGACTAAACACGAAGGGCCAGCAATCAAAATTCATTATTGGCTATACTAACTAACCTGTCCAATCAGGACTTGGCAACTCATCCTAGCACAGACTCTTCCATTTTTCTCCTTAAAAACCCACTCTGCGAAAAACACCTGCTGCTGCTGCTGTTGTTGTTGCTGCTGCTGCTGCTTGCTGTCTGCCTTTGCCCATTCTAGAGGCAGACATTGCTTACCCATCTAGGATAATAAACCCCGCCGCTGGGCGGTGGTGGCACACACCTTTAATCCCAGCACTTGGGAGGCAGAGGCAGGCAGATCTTTATGAGTTCAAAGCCAGCCTGGTCTACAGAGCGAGATCCAGGAAAGGCGCAAAGCTACACAGAGAAACCCTGTCTCAAAAAACAAAACAACAACAACAAAAGGATAATAAATCCCCTATGTGCTGAGAATTTGGTGTCTGGGTGTGTCCTGTTCCAACTCTGACCCCGCCCCCCATACCTCACTCAGCACATCACACAAAGTCTTCCTGGTAAAATGAAAAACAGCACTGAAAAGCCTTCCTTTTCATAGAAGATGCTGCTTCTGTGCCCCTCCCTCATGGAGTCCTTCGTTGTAGACGCTGGGACAAAAAGAAGATGGGCATTCTTGTCCTAAGGGCTTTACACAGAAACACTGCCTAGTCTCTATTGCTACCTCTGAAATTTTCTCCAAAACTCCTTACAATTTTGCATTCTGCATCAGTCCCCATGCCCTTCCTATGTCACTTGTCTAGCTTAAGTATTTTATTTTAATTCATGTTTTAAAAGATTTATTTACTTTTTATGGGGGAGTGTTTTGTCTGCATGGCAGCTGAAGAGGTAAGAAAGAGGGCATTAGATCCATGAGGCAAGTTCCAGTTAGTTGGGAACTACCATGTGGGTGCTGGGAACTGAACCTGGTCTTCTACAAGAGCGAGTGCTCTTAACCACTGAGCCACCTCTCCAGCCCCTCTTGCTTGTTAAGTACAGCTCAAAGAATTCTCAGTACTGAGTTCTAGCTTCTGCTCCACCAGAGCTGGAGTTCCGCACTTAAGAGCTCATGGCACCTCTTAGAGATGGTCCATATATACCTGAGAATTAGTAAAGTAGTACTAAATTCTGTCATATCTACAGTACGTCCAACTGATTCTTTTATTCATGGAATAAATATGAATGTGGTGCTTGTAACACTGAAACTGGTCTTTTTAAAATTAATCTATTACAGAAAGTAGTTCGAATAAGCATGCTTCATGACAATTTACACACTCTGGCATATGTGTGAGCATGTGTGCAACATGAGGTGTGCAGAGCAGCACACAGCATCACCCTTGCCTTCAGAAGTTGGAAAGAGATGACGCAGACTAGAAACACACTCTATACTCACACATGTGCTATAACATTGTGTAATCTGAGATTTGTAGTTCTGATATTTATTCATGGCACATATTAATGCTGCTTTTAGGCTGAAAAGCAACATCCTGGAATTGGGAACTGGCACCCTTGTGAACACAAGAGCAGAAGACATTTTGAAACTGACAATCAGTGCCTACCTTATCCCAGACTGACAGTAGCCATTCCTGCTCCAATAAGAAACTGCTGGGGTACTTCTTCCATTCTCTAATTTTTCTTAAATTAAAAATATTGAAATTGTATGTCTGCAATTTTGCTGCTCACTACCTATCTCTTTCATTGGTCGAGACCTGAGTCATGTGTAAATATAACATTATTACAGAATGACAATTTTCCATCTGTCTTCACTCTATTATTTCCTGTCCCCACATTTCAAGGATTTTGTAACAAATCTTAAAAGCTAAAGTTCCTATCCAGCTGTCTTTTATCCAACCTTGACAGGCTTCTAAGAGATCAATAAGCTATAGCACATTCCTTAATGCATACATTAGCTAATTGGCAATAATGAAGTGCTTGGCAGTTGCTTTTATGTTCATACATATATGAATATATATACAGCAGAAAGTTTTGATGGAAAACTGACATCCCAAGAAGTCTACACAGAACAGTTGGCATCATGTGATTTGAGCACTCATCTCCCAAGTGAGCCTGGGTTTCGATATATGACCTCAATTTTCTCAAATTTTATGCTGGATATAAGAACTCAACGAAAATATCTCTGACATTAAGTGGGATCTGCATTTAGGATTTGATTTCTTTTTTTTCTTTTTTTTAAATTCTATTTTTTATTAAGAAATTTTTTATTCATTTTACATACCAACCACAGATCCCCCCCTCTCTTCCCTCCTCTCACTGCCTCCCCCAATCTTCCCCCCAACCCATGCCTCAGTCCCCTCTCTGAAAAGGTAAGGCCTCCCATGGAGAGTCAGCAAGGCCTGGTACATTCAGGTGAGGCAAGATCAAGCCCTTCCCCTTGTATCAAGGCTATGCAAGGTGTCCCACCATAGGTAGTAGGTTCCAAAAAGCCAGCTCACACACCAAGGATAGATCCTGATCCTCCTACCAGGGGACCCCTTCAGCAGACCAAGCTACACAACTGTGTCACTATGCAGAGGGCCTAGTCCAGTCCCACGGAGGCTTCACAGCTATTGGTCTAAAGTTCATGAGCTCCTACTAGCTTGGTTCTGTTGTCGCTGTAGGTCTCCCCATCATGAGAAATGAAAGAGATATCTTGATAGAGGGAGACATCATGGGGATAGGGAGAAACCTGGCCCTAGGGAAGTTCCCAGGAATCCACAAGGATGACCCCAGCTTAGACTACTAGCAATAGCGGAGAGGGTGCCTGAGCTGGTTTACACAGTAATCAGATTGGTGACTACCCTGTCATCATAGAGCCTTCTTCCAGTAACTAATGGAAGCAGATGAAGAGATCTACAGCCAAGCACCAGGCCGAGCTCCAGGAGTCCAGTCGAAGACAGGAAAGAGGGATTCTATGGGCAAGTGGCATCAAGGTCAGGATTTGATTTCTTGAACACTTAACCTTTTCTCAAAACTCTTTGCTAGCCCAACTTACTTTAAGAATTTCTCTACCTTGTGTCTATTTACTATTGGTAAGAGCACACCAACTGTGATTGCTCCTGCCAATATGGTACCACCCACCTACTGATGCTGCACATTCTTCACAAGTCTCCCGTGATGGAAGTGTCTGTGTTCATTTCCAAACTCTTTCATTCTCCCAATAAATAAAGAAACCAAATGACTTTGTTTATCCTCTCATAGCTGCTTCTTCCAGTTTCTTCTCTGAATCCCCCCATCTCTCTGCTCCATCTCTCGCCCCTTCTTCCCTTTGTTTATGCCTTCCACCAGTGTCTTCAACTTTTCCTCCTCTACTGCTCCGTTGCCATCAGTGTTTAGTTATCTCTGTCCTCTGCTCCTTGTCATTACTTTAATGATCTAATTCCATTTCCTTTTAGTCTGCTCACTCCTTCATTCAGTGTTAACTGGCTTCTTCTACTATAATTCTGGAAAACAGTCATCACTAAGCCAAGAATCATTATCCATTTTATGATAAATTCATCACAATTCTATAGGTCTTTGGGTATGTCATTTATCTTTTAAAATATATGCAATGTGATCATTCTAATCTCTAAAATCCAGTAATTATCTTTCGTTATCTTGTGCTTTTGTATACCGCATCACTATGGGCAACCACATAAAAATTAAATCCTTTGTACAATTACATTTGTCATTTACATTTTACAGTTGTCATTTAAAAAAATCAGGATCATGCTTCATCAAGTTGTCATTTTAAAGAATCAGAATTATGCATCAAATATATATCTGCTTTGACATGTGTGCAATTTTTAGATAAATATGAATTACTTCATATTGCAAAATATTGTTCTGGTTTTTTTGCAGCATTTATATACTATACTAACTTAAGCCTCTATAGTAGTGAATTGACCCAAAGTGGAGTGAGAAAATGATCATCAGTACTTCTGAGAAAGGAGATTTTCTTACTCAACATTATGCCCCATGCACGTGGTATGACAAGTTCAATAAGCTGATTGGTTGCTATGCTCTGCTATCTAACTCTTCCACTTCCCAGCTCCTCCCTGCACTATGAAACCACAGCAGTGCCAATGTCAGCAGCAATGTGATCTGTCAATCTTAAGAGCCTCAGGAAAACGGTGACTTTCTAGTATAAGGATATAGCTAATCTGCAGAACCAGAGTCCTGGGCCTGAGCAGAACTCCCCGTGAGGGTGGATGGGGGCATGCAGTCTGCATGCACCATGCCAACACTGACTCTTGATCCCAAGTTTCAGAGAAATACAGGACCATTTATGGATCTGTTGTGTGTTCAGGACGTGGGAGTGCCCACGTACAGAAAACAGTCCACGGTTGCTTTCCGAATGGGGATTATAGGCAGTAAGTCCAGCTGAAATATTGTGATGATCATTTTGACTTTACAGATGAGGAAAATCAGCCATGATGAGGGTCAAATGTTGTGTTCAGCATCACTAGCCTAAGGAGGGATATATGTCTCAGATTCAAGCCAAGAAGTCTGGCTCCAGTCCTATGCTTTCTTATTTATAGTATTTCCAGAAAGATCTGTCAACCAAACGTCAGGATGCCAGGAACTAAGACTACAACTAAGCAAAAACTAAATCATTACCTTCAGAAGGAGCTCTTGTTTCTCTACTCTGCAAATGAGCTATTGAAGGCGATAGTTAAGCATCCACCTTGCCTTTTCCTTTAGAATCGGCAGTGCAGGCTAACCAGAGGGGCCCCGTTCAAAGGAGGAAAGTGGGGGGAAACTCTTCTTTGTGATTAAATGTCTCTGTAGGTGATCAGGTGATGCAAGGAGGCTAAAACTCGGGCACCCGTTTCCTTTGCTTTTTCTCTTTCCTTTTCTGCCATCCCAAAGCTTATCCTTGGCAGATGCTGCATAATAGCAGCAAAGCCACTCTAGAGGGAGTCCCTCACCCATTTCCTCAGCTCCAAAAGGAAGCCAGTTGTTAAGAAGAAATTAATTTATGCTAATGTCTCAAAACCCTGCCAAAACGTTCCTTGGGATCTCCATTAACATTTAATATATTCTAGCTGCATCAATATAAATTTCAGCATTGATGTAGTAATTGAAGATCTGCAATATCCCTTAAAGATTGCTTTTATATTAATCTGCTAATGGAAAGCAAGGTGAGCAGAGTGTTATTAGACTGAGCAATGTCAGCTACGTGTAAAGAATGCTCTAAGGAGCAAATGTATGGGAGTCGAAATTGCTCATATGACCTTCGCTAAGTTTTCAGATATTAGATATGATTGCTCTAATTCCCAGGCAATTTCCCTCAGAGAATCTAAGGTATCTGGAAAATTTTGTTCAGGATTAGGGTCTGGCTATCATAGGATACTGATACCGCTTGTCTACAGTTTTGGTATATTAAGACAATATTCTACCTGTTCTAGAAGCATCTATTCCTGCTCTCCTAGTATTCAGCTGGTAGCACATTTCAAGTTAGTAAAGTCCCAGTAATGACTAAACACTCTTAGAGAGCATTCTGCTGCTAGCTCCCTAATGAAGCACAGCACTCTGGGATTTCCTCAAAGCCTTCAATTTTGAACAGTGACATTTCAAACATTAACACCTATAGAAAAAGATGGAGAAGGGGGTGATGGAAGAAGGCTTCAGTGTCCTTCCACGGGTATCTCCATGTGGAGTAAGCCTGCTCCTTATAGGAAAGAAGAACAAGGACTGTACAGCACTGTCACCTCTTTCCTAATTCTTCACTGTGTGACATCATGGATTCCTCCAAGGACCTATGCAGACCTAGATGACAATGTGCAAACAAACAATGCCAATGGAATTTTGTCTAGAAGGTACTTTCATTTACACCAATGTGTTTTAAACAAACTCATCGTTTCTTTAAGGCTCAGGATAGAAACTATTTTCCCATCTCATGAGAAGTGATATCTATTGTCACTTAACAACCTCCATAAACATGCAGAATATTGTGCTGGTTGTCTACGTGTCTCAGTTTCTTTTCCAGGTGCTGTCATGAAATATTCTGTCAAAAGCAACTCAATGGAGAACGGTTTGTTCTGGTTCACAGGTCAAGAGTACAGTCTGTTAGAGTGGGTAAGTCAAGACAGTTGGAGCTTGAAGCAACTGGTCACATCACCTCCATTATCAGGAAGCAGAAAGCTGCTACTGAATGCTAACACTCAGCTCTCTTATTCCTTGCGTACAGTCCAAGACCCCAGCAAGGAATGCCACAGTCCACAGTAGGCAATCTTCTCCTCTCTGTATAATCACCTACAGGCATACACAGAGGTCTGTCTTCCAGGTCATTCCAGATTTATGTAGTTGACACTAAACATCCTATCAGAGGTTGGAGTGACGACTCAGTGGTTAAAAGGGCCTACTGCTCTAGTAGAGGACTCAAGTTTGGTTCCCGATACCCATTCAGAGGGCTTACAACCACCACCTGTAACTTCAGCTCTAAGTGATCCTTCATCCTCTTCTTGATTCAAAGGGCACTGTACTTGTGTACACATAACCCCTTCCAGCCCCCATATATACATAGTAAAAATATAAAATAGATCTTAAGCATCATACTGAACTTTCCATCATTCTCTCAGAATGTCCATATTTATTTTTCTGAAAGTGAAAGTACAAGAAAAAGTTGAAAGAATTCAAGTATCTTAGTCATTCAGGAAAGGAAAAAGAGAAGATATTTCCTGGTGGAAGAAATGAGCCAGGAATGGCTAGCTTCTGATACCTCTCAGCAAGGTAGAGCCACAAAAGGACACAGATCCAGACAGGACATCCACGGAGAGCCAGGCCTGGGCAGAGCATGCCAAGGTCAAGAACTAAAGTTCCAGAACATCCAGCAAGAGTGAATGCTTCAGGGCGGGGAGAGAATGCAGGGTAGGCTGGGCACAGGAACAGAGAGGGACCAGCCCGGGTCACCTGTCCTTGTTCTATGCCTCCCTACTTGAATGTCCTGCCAGAAAGTCCTAAGGCAGAAGTTTGTTTTTTTTCTTAATACAACTAGCAAAATACAAAGCTACCATAATGGTCAGGACCACAAGATAAAGCCTAGCTGAAAAGCAGTTCACAAAGCAGCACTCCACACATGACTAGTCCTAGGAACCGGGATTCTTGGAGATTTTGATGTGGTAGACTGAAAGGGATCCAGGAATGAGGTTTCCATCCTCAAAGTGACTCTAGAGCCTGATAGGATGGGGGAAGGAGCTACACAGAACTGTGAGCTTTGATGTGCTGCAAGTTTACTTACCATGCACCTGAGGCAAGGATTTTAATACTTCAGATGTTTGACTGCTTCATGTATAAAGCATGAAAACTAAATTGCCTCATAATGCCTGGGCACGTGGGGGGTTCAGTGGTTAAGAGAGTTTGCTACTGTTTCAGAGGACCTGGCTTTGGTTCCCAACACCCACATGATGGCTTACAACCAGCCCTAATTCCAGTTCCAGGCCATCTGACGCACTCTTCTGAACTCTGCAAGCACTAGGCACCCACATGGTGCACAGAGGTACATGCAGGCAAAACACTCACATGCGTAGTACAAAATACATAAATCTAAAAGAGTCTTAATTGTCTTCTAAAATCGACCTCTCCCGCCATGAACACGGAGGGACTTGAACTTGGTAACTACCTCTGTCTGTAGATTCCTTCACGGTATTCTAGATGTTAAGACTTGGTATATGACAGAAAACTCCCCGCTGTTTAGACAGAAGATTTTCACTTGCTTTACAAAGAACAATCTTGAAACTTTCAAATGAATAGGAAATAAGAATAACTAAGGAGAGATCAGATGTCAGACTGCATTTGCTAAGTACAACCACTACCAGAGGAACCCTACACACCAGGCAAGGTAGAGAAGACTGAAGGAGAACGTATTGACATGTACAGCATGACCAGCATGTTACAGTCCTGAACCAGTGGTTTCCAGGGCAGCTCCTATATCTGGTAGTAACAGCTGCCCCATCATAGTGATACAGTGGTCACAATCTCACACGAGAGAACACACATTTGGAGAGGCTTCAAAGGTATTCAAAGACAAAAATAGTGAAGAAATGTGCAGTGATTTCACTTCTGAATTCAACTCAAGCTCCTATCTTATCAAATATGGCTGGCTTCTAGCCAGCAGCTTCCCATTTCATCATGCAGACCATCTTGGAACCCTAAGTTTGTTGAAAGAGAGACTCCATGGGTAAATGATTGCATCCCAGTACCTGTCTTAATTTGGAGAAGTCTCTATGCCAGTGAGGCAAACCCCAGTGTGTTGAACTCGAGGGGAGAGATTGTGATCTAGCTCTGATCAACAAAGTGTTTGACGGAAAAAAATGTTCTCACTCTCAGTCCTGAACAACAATAAATACTGTTTTCCAACATATTTCTATAATGCCTGATCATGAGGAAGGAAGCCTAGGAAAAAGGCAGACTCATGAAAGATCACAAAGTAGAAAGGAGAGAGAAATCTGGGCCCTTGATGATGTCATCGAGCTGCTGAACTGAGCACCAGGAAGCTGTCTTACTCTACACTCTTATTATGTAGTATAACAAATGCACATGGCATTTGTAAACTGGGTTACATGTTAATTGCAAGTGGAAACATCCTGAGAGACATAAATTGCATGGCAGGAGATAAAACAGATGAAGCACCAGCTCAGGATGGTGGAGAGAGAACACCATGTCGGTTTATGAGCAACTCAAATGGCATGGAAATGAAGATTCCACCTGTAGAAGCATGCATACACACATGGGGTTTTCAAAACAGTGTCTGAAGAACACGGCAAGTTCTTTCCTAACTTTATCAGTTCATGTCCCAAAGTCTCACAAGACTCCCTTACATGGGTTGCTCATTAAAATTGTGGGAAAGCTTAAAAATACCAAAGCTCAGGCCATCCCTGGAGATTCTGACTTAATTGGTCCAGGAACTTCAACATAGATTTTTAAAAGCTCCCAAGGTAGTTCTAACAGGCAGGCCAGGTCAGGAGTGGCTTGCCAATACCTTTCTGCAGAAAACAAGCAAAACACATTGTTTCAAATGCCGGGCTGCCTCAGGGAATAATCCAGGCTTGGCCAGATCACACTGGATGCACAAGATCTCCTTTCCCTAGGAATATTCTATTGTTTTAAAGAATAGGGAGCGGGGCAGTGGGAGCAGAAGTCAGCATTACAAAACCTCAGGCCACTCGGGGTTCTGCCGCTGTTGGGTAACAAAGGAGAAGCTGTATATCTTTTTCGGGTCTCTTCAGTTACTTGGAATTGTGCGAAATCATGGACTGACCCTGGCCAGTCAAGTTGCCCCTTGTACATATGACATGTATTTTCTGCCAGGACACTGTAAGGATCAGTTAAATGACTTGTGTGAGATGGTTTACAAACAGCAAAGCGTCCTTCCTGTCTGAGGTGTTGTGCTTAGTGAGTGAGCAGGTACAACATTAGTCATTTCCAGAGTGCCGCCCACTGGTTAGTCCGTGCTTGGAGCGCTGCAGTTGTTCAGGGTTTCTGTCTTTTCCGCTCATTAGATTCTTTTGGTGGGGAAGGACAGGAATCATCACCGCATTGACTTCCTTCACATTTTAATTTAAGCTGTCTGCAGTGCGAAGTGGCCATCCGGAATTTTTAAAACCCTCTGCCTTCCTCGCCGGCAACTGGGGACCTCCAAATCCAGATCCATCTAAACCGTGGTGTTCTGTAAGCCCTTTCCTCTTTCCTATTTGTTCCAAGAGCCTCAGCTCTGACCTCTTGTTGGACCCTGAGTCCCAGTCAGCTGTGATGCCCAATTGCCTTACAGAGCACAGCTCGGGGACTTGGCCCTGAATGCCTAGCTGCTTTATGACGTCAGCTCTGGAATCAGGTGAGAGCTTTGTCCTCTGAGTCATGATCCTCTGGGATGAGGTTACCACTTGCACCCCCCCAGTCCCAGATGCCTCCGGCTCAGTTTATTCCATTGACAAACTGCTGAGGCGGCTCCTACCTGGGCCCTCTGGGATGTGTGGATCTGATCCACTCACCACCTGCAGGTCATTTAGAGGCCAGGCAGCAAATGGCTGGTGTGGGGGTGTGGGAGGGGGTGTTCTTCCTATCCCAATTGTCCTATCTGCTGTTACATTTACTGCCTTAGGAAACCACTCCAGGATCATCACCCACTCTTGGAATTAGAGGAATAAATACGGGCAGGAAGACCAGTTCTCACTCAGGTGGAGTCTGGTGCCACCTTTTCACTGGAACTTCATATAGATGGGCAGGGCTTGAAAGAGCTGCTGATGGCCCAGTGTGGTTTAGGACTGTGAGATCTTCTTTCGGGAAAGACACATACTGGAGAACCCTGTCACTGGTTAGGGAAAACAGGAGACCTGCAATCCTCTGCAGCACTGAGAAGGGCTGTCTCAAATCACTGCTGGCAGCTATCCCCCTGCCTCAATACCCAGACATTCTGTGTCTTGCTCCTCAGTTAATAGTTTTCCTGTTATTGTGGTTATGGGTCTTCAGATCATTAAGTCACTCACTGAACTGTGAACTCCCAAATGGCAGAGCATAGTTTTACTTCACCTTAGGGTCAGATGGGAACTGATGAGCACCAAGTCTGGGTAACAATGAACGAGCGGATGAACTGTGAAGAAACTAAAGAAGATTTGAAAGGATGAATGTTTCAGAAAGCGTCTCCCTCTGTGTTTGGAGGAGCACTCTCTGTGACCACAGCACAACACTTCTTCAACAAGCTGGTCCTCTACCCTTCTCTCCTTAAGTGAGCAGATGTGCTTGGCCCCTGCTTCTCTCCTGGACACAGGATGAGTTTTCTGTCGGTTCTCACTGGGATGCAACTCTTCCAGAGCACTCAGTGTGGTGCCTCCACCCTCCTCCGGGCAAAGACTCTCTTTGTTTGTGCCATGTACTGTTTTCAACGGTTCCCTCTGTTCATCCACAGCAGAAACGGGCTGTAGCTGACAGCACCCCTTTGTGACGTTGCTGCTTCAGGATGACATCTATGAGGGCTGCTCTGGTCCCCACTGGTGATGCACAAAGGTTGGGGAAACCAGATTTCTGGGAGGAGTGACAGACTGCACATTGAGATACTCTCAACAAACAATGTCATCTAGAATCATCACAAGAACAATGATACTCTATGCAGAGACCTCTAGAAATTTACTATCTGTGATACTTGTAGCAGAGTAAATACCATGTATAATAAAAGAACTCCTTTTATTGATAGCTGCTTCCTTTAAAGGGTTTGCTTTCCCCTTAAGTTTCGAAAACAACAGCATTTTATTCTTAAATAAAAATGGTGATGAAAGACAGCTACACTGCTCACATTTGTTTGTGATCAAGTGGGTTCTGCATAGCCCCAAACATCTAAGCCTAGGCTGTTCTCCAATGGGATATACTTTCCAGGATGCACCCTGCACCCCCAACCTGAACTTGACTTTGCTGTGTGTCTGCTTTCCCAGGTGGCATTAAGTGACCCTACATGATTCTTTTCAACCTTCAGGTAAAGAAAAAAGGACCTTGAAGTTTTATGTAACATTCTGACTCAACTTAGATACCTCATCTGCCCCAAAAGAATTTGAGGTGGCTTAAAATTCAAAGGTATATACAGATTGTCAAACAAATGTTTAAAAATGGGAGAAATGAGAGAAAATAGATAAACAAGCCAGGCAAGCCAATGGACTGTTATAAAGTACAAATATTCCCCGTTTTGTTCTCTGCCTCTAGGGCAGAAGGAGAACCATGAGAAATCAGTGCACTCTTGTTACTGGAGAGGAAAAGGGAGAGAATAGCCATATTCTAGGAGAAGCAGAGTCCTTTTGAATCTGGTTGTAAAACTGAAATGGAATTTTTTTTATAAGAGACCTTGAAAATTGGCAATGACCTTGACAACAGATTTTATGACAGATTTTACTGCAAATACAGCAAAATGAATTTCATATGGTGCTTTGTTTATCACCTACAAATTTTAAGCTACAGGGTATTTTTAAGAACTGTAGGTTTCTGTTTTCTCTCCGTGGACTGGATCATGGAAGCTGTATAAAACTGTAAAGTAGTTATTATCACATTTTTTCAAATTTAAAACAATGGAAATTAAGTGTGGTTAAGAAGTCTCCCAATATCATACAAAGGACAAAGCTGGGACTTGAGTCCATATTTAATGTTTTAAATTCTGAAGACAAGATGCTAAATATAATTACATTAAGGCAATTTGGTAAATTGTCGAAAGTACATTCTTCCAATGATCTGACAGAAGCCAGCAACACAGTTTTAATCTTGAGAAAATGAATGGTATAAGTCATTTTTCTTGAGAAGTATTCTGCTGAGTTGGACTTCTGATAAAATCTAAGTAGCATATACTTGCAGCTGTATACTATCAATAGGCACTGGTCCACAATAGCCTAAAACCCTATTAGAGATTAAAGTTCTAGGACAACCAGGCTACAGGATTATAACTCTTGTTTTTTTCCTCACTCATATCCACCACTTCCCGACAAGATCACAATCATAGTCTTGAAGTCAAAGAATGTATTCCACATGCTTATCCTTTAACTATTTCTTGAAGTCAAGGGTTACCAATTCCCAAGTGCATGTGTGTGTTTGTGTGTGTGGTGTGTGTGTGTACATGAGCAGGTCCAGACAAGAGGTTGATACCCAGTGTCTTCCTCTGTTGCTCTCCACATTGTTTTTGAGACAGGATCTCTCCCTGAACGTGAAATTCATTGTTTCATCAAAGCTGGCCCAGCTTTGTTGGCTAACAAACCCCAGGATCTATTTGTTCCTTATTTCATGGCACTGGGATTCCAGGTGGTTTCTACCATGCCCCACTCTCATGTAGCTACTGAGGATCTGAACTCAGGTCCTCATACTTGCAAACAAGCACTTTAACCTCTGGGCCATCTCCCTAGCTCTTGGAATACTGACATTGTAACCTGATATAGAATACTCCCTCTGTGTCTGATGCTTGTCAAGAGATGGTATGGCTGGAACCTGGGAGAAACCTCATGGAATGGGATGATGTAGCATTCCTTCCGGATTGTTTGCTGCACTGTAGGCGAGCCGAGGCTATCCTCATGAGAAACACCAAGAGACACATGTCACACAGAGATAAATTCCTACTGTCTCAGTGTTCTATTTTATTTTCCAGGCACAGTAGCTTACGTCCCACAAACACCGACTTCCGGTTCTCAGCAGTGTCCCTGAGGCACTGAAACTTAATGAACTCAGCTGTGACTCATTCTAACGGCACTCAAATAAAGGTTTGGCTGGAAAACACTAAATCTCTTCCACAAGGGTAAAAAAAGAACAACAACCAAAAAAGATGAAGAAGAATGTTAGAAAATAGTCAATTTATTCTCAGTAACTAAGTCAAAGGCTTTTGAAATATGTGTGTGTATGTGTTATATGTAATACATATTATACATGCACATGCATATCTGTGTTACGAAATTCAAAGAAACAAAAAGATTGGCTCATACTGAGAGAAGTAAGCATGAATAGAATATTCATAAACTCTGTACATTGAATTTAACACACACATACACCTAAATTATTTCTTTTAAATGTTTTCAAACAGCCAAGGGAAACCATGCTGGAAGAAAATGCAGGAAACAGTAGTATCAACATGAAATAAAGAATATCAATAAAGATATATAAATGACAGAGTGAGGGAGAAATTGTGCAGTTTAACAGTACAAATTAGATGAAATTCCATCAAAGAAGACCAACAGCACATTGGGCAGGAAGAAGAAAGACAGATGAAATTGAAGATCTGTCCATTCAAAGGAATGACAGAATAGTGAAGAAAGCTTTAAGAGATTGTGGGGCTCCATAAAATATACCATCTGCACATAATAGGAGATTCAAAAGAAAGAAGCTGAAAAGTGACAAAGCATATTTGAATAAATAATAATGGTCACAGACTTCCATTTTTAAGTTGGGTTATATGTTTTCTTGATGTTTTTTAGTTTGTGATAGTTTGAATGTAATTGGCCCCCATAATCTCATAGAGAGTGGCATTATTAGGAGGTGTGGACTTGTTGGAGGAAGTGTGTCACCTTGGGGACAGGCTTTGAGGTCTCCTATTTTCAAGCTACACTCAGTGACACGGTTGTTTTTGCTGCCTGCAGATCAAGATGTAGAACTCTCAGCTCCTTCTCCAGCACCGTGTCTGCCAACATACTGCCATGTCCTGCCATGAATGATAACGGACTAAATCTCTGAACTGTAAGCCATGCAAATTAAAAACATTTTCCTTTATAAGAGTTGCCATGGGGACTGGAGAGATGGCTCAGCGGTTAAGAGCACTGGTTGCTCTTCCAGAGCTCCTGAGTTCAATTCCCAGCAACCACATGGTGGCTCACAACCATCTGTAATGAGATCTGGCATGCAGGCAGAACACTGTATATATAGTAAATAAATAAACCTTAAAAAAAAAACTGGCCGGGCGGTGGTGGCGCACGCCTTTAATCCCAGCACTCGGGAGGCAGAGCCAGGCGGATCTCTGTGAGTTCGAGGCCAGCCTGGTCTCCAAAGCGAGTTCCAGGAAAGGCGCAAAGCTACACAGAGAAACCCTGTCTCGAAAAACCAAAAAAACAAAACAAAAAAAAAAAAAAACCTGTTTATGCCGGGCGGTGGTGGCACATGCCTTTAATCCCAGCACTTGGGAGGCAGAGTCAGGCGGATCTTTGTGAGTTCGAGGCCAGCCTGGTCTACAGAGTGAGATCCAGGAAAGGCGCAAAGCTACACAGAGAAACCCTGTCTTGAAAAACCAAAAAAGAAAATTTAAAAAAAAAAAAAAAGAGTTGCCATGGTCATGGTGTCTCTTTACAGCAGTAAAATCCCTAAGATGTTCTTTATATATTTTGGATATTAGCACTCTATCAGATGTGTAGTTGGTTAAAAAAAAAAAAAATTCCCACGCTAGGCTGCTGCTTTGTCCAAATGAGAGTGTCCTTTGCAGGGCAGAGGTGTCTCCATTTCATGGGGTCCCGTTTATTAATCTTAAGTCTTAGTGCCTGTGCTGACAATCTTCCGTTTAGGAAGTCTTTTCCTGTGCCAATGTGTTTAAGCCTATTCCCCACTTTTATTCCAACAGGTTCGGTGTACCCAGTTTTACGTTGAGGTCTTTGAATCATTTGGACTCCAGTTTGGTGCAGGGTGATAAGAACAGACTTATTTGCGTTCTTCTACAGACAGCCATCCAGTTAGACCTGCACCATTTGTTGAAAATATTATCTTTTACCAGTGTGCATTTCTGGTTTCTTTGTCAAAAATCATGTGCCCATAGATATGGGGATCTATGTCTGGGTCTTCTATCCAATTCCATTCATCAACATGCCTATTTTTGTGTCAATACCATACTGTTTTGGTTGCTCTATCTCTGTTCTACTCCACTTCTTAGTAGACTCTCTGCAGGTCCCATTTCTTTGTGTCCATACTCACAAGTTTGAAGAGCTCATGGTTTCAGGCAGGGGGAACACAGAGTTCACTTCTCTCAGAGGTCTCTGAAATTCAGGATTTTCTTCAATTCCTATCACTATAACGAGAAATTCTGGTTTGTATGTGGGTCATGGCCTCTTCGCTGAGTTCTGTGTTTTGGAGGGAGGGACTGTGTTTGGAAATATTTGCATTCTGCTGGCTGGAAATGTTGCAGTTTTTATTACTCTAAAGCATGATTCGGGGTATTTATTATGCTTACCCTAGGTATTTGATATTGTTTACAGCAAATGTATGAGCAATGAGAAGAGAATAATATTTCTCATCCCCAAGTAAATCAGTGAAGAAGAAAGTTCCAGAAGCATTTTGGAAACTGAAAGGGATAAATCTCAACTACAACCAAGAAATGAGAATAAACTCATAACAGTGTGCCAGGGGCTAGTAAACAAACATCCCCCTGGAAGGCATGCTCTCCTTCTTTCTCCTAATTAATTATCTTTGGTGTTTAACACCGATTTCTACAAGCTAGATTTTCTCTGCAGCTGCTAGAATCAATGTGTTTTGTCACTGCCAAGCATTATTCTTTTCAGCTACTACAAGGAAACAAAGCTTTAAAAATCCCTCAATATCTGTGTTTGGATGTCTCGCTGCTTTTTTTATGTGCTTCTATTTGGAAACACTGTTCATGTTCTCTCTGATTGTTTCTCCAATGCTTTGTCTTTTCTGAAAAGATTTCATTTTCAGACACAGCCAGTGAGCCACGTTTCAATAACCAAATGGACACACTGTCTAAAATCATTACTGGGATAATTTTTAGGTAAGGTAGGGTTTATAACTAGTAGATATATTATTTCACATTCTGTGTTAAAAATCAGTTAACCTAGAAGGACATAGCATGAACAGCATGTCTCCATCCACCTGTGAGCTCTTAATTCTCCAGGTATTTCTTTGCTCACAAACACATTTCTTATTTACTATTTTCAAAGTTTACTCAGTTATAGTACCATAGGTGCACATTTTTCTTGCTTATATGTACTCACAAATATGATCAACATATTTATTTTTCACTTACTATGTATCATATAATTGATTTTTCCCATCATACATTTTCATAAGCCAGGTTATCACTCTGTATTAAAAAATCCATGGATTATGGGGCTTTAGAAATGGCTCAATGGTTAAGAGTACATACCGCTCTTCTAGAGAGCCAGAATTTGATTCCCAGAGCATGCATGGTGGCTCACAACTGTCCATAACTCCATTTCCATGGGATCCTTTTCTGGCCTCCATCATCCCCAGGCATGCAGATGTTCACATACATACACAGATACACATGTACTAAAACTAAATAAGTCTTTTATTTAATGAATTAATTAAAAACCCACAGTTGACTCAATGATTTCTTATTAATGGGTTTCTACAATTAAAATTTCATTGAAATTTCAAATTTAGAAATTAATTTCATATTTCAAAATTTAAACTTTGACTTAAAATTTTTGGCTTAAATAAATTAATTGTGCCCATTTATTTAAAAGAAAGTGTTTTCTTAAGTAATAACAGCGTAAGATAGAAGTAGATTATGAGATATATAAGAACACAGGCAGTTTCCAGCAGAAGATCTGGGCATCAACATTTACATCAGTACAAGAAACTGAGCAGACTGTCCTTAGCTCCATGAAAGAGCTTGAGATCAGAGGACAAGCTCCTACTCTGCAGACAGAGGAGAAAAACAGATACCTAACTGCAGCAGAGACTGTCCCAGCCTCAGAGGAAGCCGCTGGGGCCATTATCTGACAAATCCCAGTTATCGGATGGTTAGCTTGCCAGAAACTGGCTGTGCCCTAGCAAGAGCATCAGGAACTCCAGGGAAGGAAATGGTTTTTAATTTTCATTGGTTTTTACCTCCAGCATCCCTATCATAAACTCATGAAGAGTCATGAAAAAACAGTCTAGTCTCCCTGGAAGAAGAAAAGAGTAACTCTCAAATTTACCAAGATAATTCCCCCATGACATCACCTACAAAGGAGAATATCTACCTGCTGTCTGCTGTAGACAGGACTTCTCCTGTCACCTAAAGGGAAGGAAGAAGAACTGAGCAGCCATTATGAAAGTTGTAACTCAGAATCACACACTCAAAAGACCAAGAATGTGTGTAGGTGTATGTGTGTGTATGTATATGTGCATATGTCTGTATGGATATGTATGTATGAGTGTGTGTGTATGTATGAGTGTGTTTCTATGCATAAGTGGGTGGTATGTGTGTGGATGTCTATAGCCCAAGCTTGTCACACACATGGCAATGCAATCCTCTCTCCTCAACCTCCCAAGTACTGGGGTTAAAATTTGTGCCACCATGCCCAGCTTTAATTGTGTGTTTATTACTTACTTGGATGAGTGTCTTCTTCTGTAAATTCTGTAAACCTTTTCCCCACTTTTATTGAGCATATGGTCTTATTTGGGAAATGAAGAATTCCTTACAGGTTCTAGACACATGTTCTTTCTCAAGTGTTTGTAGCAAAATCAGCTCTCAGGTGTGTGGCTTCCGTTTTTGCTTTAGGTCTCTTCAAGAGAAGAAGTTTGAGCTTGTATATATTACAACAAACTTTTCTTTCATGTTTGGAGGTTCTGCATTCTATATAAGGAATCTTAGTCCATCCAAAGGCAAGAAATGCCCTCCCATTTCTCTTGGAAGTCTATTTTTGATGTTTATGATAATCTGTAAGCCTGAAGTCAGATTATACTCCATCTGAAGCCTGGGGTGAGTCTCCCCATGTTTCATCATTTCTGGAAAGGTTGCATGCTCCCACTGGGTCACCTTGCTCCTTTGCCTACCTTTGCATTTGTGGATGCAAATGTTTTACAGTGCCGTTAGGAATTATCTTGGTAAAGTGATGGTAGCAGGTATGGATTCTCTTCTGAGATCCATAACCTGATTAACCCAAGTAGTGGGCTAGGTTTCCAGGATCAGGCTTGTTTTCTTTCCTTGGAGAGAGCCTTAAGTCCAATTAGACAATTGTATATAAGTGTATATAAGATGTAAGTGCTACTAGTGCACCTTTAGGGATATCTTGCCATGATGGTTTGAATAGGAAAGGCCCCCATAGACTCATGTGTTTGAATGACTGGCCCATAGGGAGTGGCACTATTAGGAGGTGTGGCCTTGTTGGAGGAAATGTCACTGTGGGCTTTGAGGTCTCATATATGCTCAAGCCATTCCCAGTGTGCTAGTTTCTCCTTCTGTTGCCTGTAGATCAAAATATAGAACCCTCAGCACCTTCTACAGTACCATGTCTGCCTGAGTGCCTCAATGTCCCACCTTGATGAAAATGAACTAAACCTCTGAAACTGTAAGCCAGCCCCAATTAAATGTTTGCTTATAACAGTTATTATGGTCATGATGTCTCTTCAGAGCAATAGAAATCCTAACTAAGACACTTGCCATGCCCGTCATTGTTAGAGTTTACTGATATCGTAACAGGATAGGACCGCTGATTTCTTCCCTCCCTTGGAAGTTTACATAGTGCTTTTTGGTACTGTGAAAGCTTGACCACAGGAAGGAGGCTTTCAGCTCATATTCAGCTCAAATAGTCCACGTTCTGGTCCAAAGTGTGTTGTCTTTAACAATAGGGAAGTTCTGGGAGGCAACCAAGGACAATAGCAATAAACTATAGTGTTTGGAGAGCCATTTTGACTACCCTGGTCAACAACTCAAGTGAAGGTTCCTCATGACTGGTATTAAGATTTTTATCAGGTGATCTATGACTCTTGTGGGGAGCATTGTCAGATTAAGGTGCATAATCTCATAGATAAAGATGTATGTATGTGTAACTTAGAAAGGGAGAGAGAGATTATAATTCTGGGTAAATATAAAATAATATACTTCCTTGAGGCTTTATCAAATCTTCGGTGTTATTTGTCCCTTCTCTCTCCCTCTTGTATTTAATTTCTGTGACATTACAGAAGTCACTTCTAAAACCTGTTTTATAATACCCATCGTGTAAGTTCATGATACCTTCAAAAAGCTGTCATTCTAACTTCTTTTCCAGTTTTTATGTCATTCACTTATTTATCTTGCCTAATTGCAGTAGCCAGTGTTTTCCTCATATCTTTGATCATATAGAGCATTTTAATTATAGCTGTTTTATGCCCTTTTCAACCTAATTCTAGCATATATCATTTCTTAGTCTATTTATATACTTTTTACTTTGTTATGAGTAATATTTTCCTTTTCTTCATTTGGGCTAGAAGAGGTATCATACACTAGATCTCTTAATTTTAGACACAGAGAAGGGTTCTGAGAAGATGATTAAACAAGCCACAGCAGTCAGTCCACAGAGGAAGCTGACACAGAATTCCCTTATAATGAGGTTTATTCTAATGAGAGGGCCTCAAGGCCATGATGGGAACACATGGTGAGAGGTGAAGTATTAGACATTAATCATGATATGTCGAGAGCTAAACATGATAGGGTCTTGAAGGGAAGGAGAGGCTTCCATGTGAAGCCTAGGGAGGAACTTCATTAAGGATGAGAATAAGAAAGAGATAGGGAGAGAGCTAGAGAACTACTATGAGAGAGATGAGGAATGTAGGGGAATCTCTTCAGATAGCAGCCCTTGTCTCTGTACCAATCTCCATGTAGAGTTCCTGAGAAGTCTCAGGCCAAATTCCCAAAGGAAAAAGAAAGTCCGATTTTTATAACTTTCTGGTGGTACCAAGAAGTTTTATGTCATGTGATTTCATTCACCATACTGTAGATGACAAGGAGTGTGGAGTAGGCAAGTCCCATAAAATGAGAGTCGTCAAGTCATAGCATAGACTACTTATTAACTCTCTGTCCCAGAGGGAGCTGGAGGAGGCATGGTCTGATTCAATGTACGAGTTGAGGCCCAAGAGTACAGGCCCATGTTCTAACAAAGGCCAAGCTAAACACAGTGTCATAGGCAGCACCTGGTGAGAACTGGCTTCCTGGTTGACAAACAGCCATCTCTTCCTTGAATCCTCACCTTCTCAATGGCACCAGGAGTGAAGATAATTTTTATAAAGATACGAATCCCATTCATAAAGATCCCATCTTCATGACTTAATTACATCCCGAAGGTCTCATCTCATAACACATCACATCAGGTAAGGTCAGGGTTTCAACATGCAAATCTGAGAGAACAACAACATTCAGTCTATAGCATGTGGCTAGATTTTTTTTTGTTACAAGCTGAATATTCTGAGCTATCTTTTATTAAGTAATTGATTGTATTGTACCCCCCCAAGGATAACTGCACTATTCCATGCAATGATCTTTACAGGTTACATACATCATCTCAAGTTGATAATCTTTAGGAGGAATCCAGAGTAGACTCATTCCTAGGGTTGGCCCCATCTTCACACATCACTGTTCTGTGGCCTCTCCTTAATTCCTTGTGTATTAAATGATAGCACCCCACTGTTCCCAGGGGAACTTTAGTGCTTCCACACCAGAGAGAGCACAAGAGTAAGTCACCTATAGTGTTTCAGTGCTTTCTCTTTCTTCAGAAGTCACCCTCACCAACCTCTTAGGGTCACACCTTAAGCGTATGCAATCTTTAACCAAAGATGGGTGAAGACCCTCATCAGCAATTCCAAAGTTCTTTCTGTGCATCTCTCCACACTTTTGCTACTTTCCCCAGAATTCTAGATGTTTTACCTTCTCTGTCCTTTCAACTTCGTCTTCATTGCTCCATGAGGTTGGTTAGACTGTGGAGCTTCATTCCCTGAGCCACAGGCCACAGCTTAACCCCCTGAAAGGGAGGCATAGGATGGAGGACTCCCCCATTTGCTTCCCTGTCTCCTCTGTTGTCTGTTACCCTGTTTCTAAAGATCATAGTATTTGGAATTCCTCAACTTTCAGAACCTTAAAGCAGAGGATCACTCCATTCCAATTTGTTTTCTTGTGGTAGGAGCATAAAGTTACTTTAAATGACTTTATTCTTATCAATCTACCTATTATTATTATGGTTGAGTTGCCCACTTTTAATGTATTGAAATAAAATAATAGTTTTCTGTCCCTCAAAGTATTTCAGAATGATTAAAGATATTAAAATTATAAGCATGACAGATATAAAAAGGAGTACTTTCCTAAATGAATCATATTAACTGAAAATCACAGCTTAAAAGATCACACTACACTGCCTTAATGTTTATTTTATCTGAAATTGTTAGGTTTGAAGATCTTACAAGTGATTTACTTCTCTTTCCACATCTACATGCTGGGTTTAATGCCCACCTTCTCTAATAAGCTTTGAATGTCTACTTCCCCTATGATCACTATGATCACGCTTCACCTACACTCTACCCCATGTAGCAATTCAGTTTAGTAATGGGTTTTTAAATATTCTGAGACCCATTAGCATCCCCCACCATGCAATTGATTACAGAAAGAAAAATATTCTATGAAGAATTCTTATCCCAGAAAAATTATATGGTTTACTTTCTCAGTGCCAAGAGGTATTCAAGCTGTTTTTCCTCAAAATGTTTGGTACTGAAGGAAAATGAGAAAGAGAAAGTAAAAATAACATTATTTTATGGAAATTATAGTCTCTAACAAGCAATCATTAATTATCATATAAAATGACCATTTGGTAGTTTCAATTGTAGTAAAGAGAAGGGAAACTATCTTATCAGACAATAGATGGAACAAGGGAACCTAGCTCTCTTTTCAAAACTTGGGACATCTCAGTCACTATAGAAATGGGCATTAGGAAAGTAGCCTGTCCTGTCTGGGTTACTCTTGGAGCCTCATGACATGAGGGAACCTCCACCATGATTTGAAAGGATGAACATTTTCTGAAGATGGAATGTAGCCTTTAGTAAATTGCCCCATGGAAGCAACTCACCCATGATTGAGAGATAATCTTCCCTTTCCTGAACTATTAGAAAACTGATTGCTAGATGATATTTTTCAATCCATTCAATACACTTTCTGTCAGTCACTGGTGTCCTGCATGTGGTGGATTTTCAAAAGGCAAAAGCATTCATGATCCTTGTCCTCATGGATCTTGCAGTACAGTAGAAAAAGGTAAATTAAACACATCCATGAGTATAATCAGGTCCTAAAGAGATAAGAAGCATGTCCCCGTGAGTCACTAATAAAAAAAATGATATAATGTACAGAATCAGATCAATTTTCCAGGTAATTGAACCGAGAGCTAACGGATAAGTTTGAGCTAAATGGGGTTAATAATGTCTTGTCACAGTGTTGTCCAGAGGATTTACTGAAACACTGTATGAGAAGCCTCAGGCCATGGCAATTTTTTTTTTTGCTGCTGAGATAGCATGAATGAAAAGACACATTAAGTTAACCGTCACTCTTGGAGGATAAACACAACCAGTGGGTTACAGTGCAGGGCAGTGGTAGAGTACTTTCTTAGCATACAAGAACCTCAGTTGATCTCCAGCACCCAACCCTTACCAAGGAAAAGAAAGATAGGCACATAAACACCTTATAGACATATACTTCACATATATTCTTTGGTTTCACTCCCAAAGAATTAACACATAAAGACAGGGACACAGAATTGTTTTTTCCTGAGCCTTACTCAGTTCATTCCACTCAATATACGTTCATCAAATATCTGTGAGAGGAATCCATATCTGTTGCTTTTCTACTCCACTTTCTTCCTTCCTAGTCATGGCTTGGGTGTAATTAGCCCACTTCACTGAACACAATTTTATGAGCTTCTCACTGGTGTTTGAAGGAGTTCTCCCTTCCTCCTTCAAAGGGCATTTTTAGCTTAAAATATGCTCTGGGGAAAATGATGAGCACACTTGGGAAATGAATACATAATTGGAGAATTTTAGGCATTTCTATTAAGACTATTTTGAGGTGAAGGCCTACTCAAAGTTCTTTCAGTTGGAATAAGTGACACAGTGACAGTCTCTTCACAGTGTAGAGAATGCCAATGTCAGTGGGTAGGGCGTAGCTTGTTCTCTGTGGTCACTGAGCGATCTGGCTCCTTCCATCCTGTACCTTCACTTCCCACCTTGTTTCTTCTCCATTCAGCAGCAGGATGGCAAAAAAATATGAAATTGATAATGAAGATGCTTAAAGTTCAGGATGACAAGAGACACGCATCAATTCTATTTACATTCCATGAGCCAGACTTTGGTGTTATGGCCACATCTTTTTGCAATGAAAATTAAGACAAAAAAGTCTAAGTAATTGCCCAATAGAGTGAGAGACAGATAGTAATGAGTCACAGAACTCTACTACTCTACTATAGCACCTGTCCTATCTATACTACTAGACACCGTCATCAGCATATTCATTTTTTTTTTTTACCAAAGTGAGTAATTCCGAAAGGCTCCCACAATTTAACTCTACTAGAGTTTATTAAAGACTGAGCATTCGAAAAACAGATGAATAAGCCACCCACAATCCCAAGCAAGATCCCTTTGGGACAAGGCAATAGTAGAGGGTGAAGAAAGGAACCTAGCAACTGGAGAGAGCACACAGCAAGTGAACAGACTTTCCATGGAGTATTTCTTCCTTGTGATGATCCTGTGAAGTAGAACATCCCACCTCACATCTACAGATAACCCCTAATGGATGGGCAAGAGAATTACTGCCACATTTAAGAGCAACCTGCCCTCCCATAAGACATGAAGAAGAGGAATAATGAGATGAACATGAGCTAAGTCCTTCAAAACACCAATCAAGATCAGTCAAGAAATGAAGGTAGAGGGTACTGCTCAAAATAAGAGATGAGCTTCAGATTGAGCACAGAGAGAAAGAGGAAATCTGGACCAAAGAGCTCTAGGTCACTCCTGATGGTAGGGAAATGAACATGTGGATTTGAGACTATATTATTAGGAGCTTAGAAATTCGCCAAGAGTATAGTTAGTTGTTCATCATTTCACAACTATAGAAATGGAGCATCATAGAGAATGATGGCCCACTGTTTGTTATCGAAGGTTTGATCCAAGTACTGACTGGCTGCTTGAAAATGGATGCATGGCTAGGGACTATGGAGGCTGACTCTGAAGTGAACCCACAGCTCCATTTCCTGGGGTCTGCTCTCACATCTAACTCTTCCCTGACTGTTGACAAGACTTTCACTTGCTTTTGACCATACATGGCAAAAGTGATGGGATGCTACATCAGCAACTGTTACATGTAGACAACGTTGTTCTGTAGAAGAAGGTTTACCTTTTATCTTTCTAGCTTTTAACAGTCAAAGAGACATGCTCTAAGGAGTTCCACATGGAAGTTTTCAGAGAGGACCTGCTGATGGATACTGGAGATGACAAAAGACAGCAAGAATCTGATGCCCTAAGTAGAATATTAAGGAAAGGAATTCTGCCAACAATGAGGGTAGTCCTGGGTGCAGATTCTTCCAGTCAGTCCTTCAGCTGAAAACACAGCCCATCTTATCCCTTCATTGCAGTCTGGTGGAACGCTGGATTAAAAATACAACTAAACAGCTTAGGTTCCTAGACCACAGGAAATGTATATATATTATACATAATATTATGTATATATATATATATACACACACACACACACACACACACACACACACACACACACACACACACAGTGGTAGAAAAAAAGTAAAATTTTTGCTTATCTGATAGGTTCATGCAACTATGACATAGACTAATAACCCTAAATCCTTAAATTTAATTAAATTTTTAAAAAATTTTAATGTGTATGAGTATTTCATCTACATGTATGAGTGTGTACCACTTCTATGTGTGGTAGTATTGTGTTCCCCGAAATATTGTGCACCCTAATAAACTTATCTGGGGTCAGAGACAGGACAGCCACAATACTAAACATAGAGGGTAGGCAGTGGTAGCACACGCCTTTAATCCCAGCACTTGGGAGGCAGAGCTAGGCAGAAATCCATGTGTTCAAGGATACAGCCAAGCATGGTGACTCATGCCTTTAATCCCAGGGAGTGATGGTAGAAGGCAGAAAGCTATATAAGGCATGAGGACCAGGAACAAGAAGAATTTGGCCTGGTTAAGCATTTGGCTGGTTAAGCTTTTAGGTTTTGAGTAGCACAGTTCAGCTGAGAGTCATTCGGATATGAGAACACAGAGGCTTCCAGTCTGAGGAAACAAGAGCAGCTGAGAAGTTGGCCAGGTGAGGTGCGCTGTGGCTTGTTCTGTCTCTCTGATCTTCCAGTGTTCACCCCAATAACTGGCCTCAGGTTTGATTTTATTAATAAGACCTTCTA